TTCTTTTTAAGAGTGTTTCCCTGAACGTTTTCAATAAGACGGTCCCGGACTCATCATCTTAAGGGTCGTTGCCTTTACCCGCGCACATATAAGCGGTGATGTGGTTGCCAGGATCTGAGGTCCCGTTGTACTCGGGGAGTTCTAGCATTCTAGACTTCTTTGAAATGTGTTCCAAGACTACTTCCTTGGGGGCCGGCCGTTGCATGAATTTCCACGAACCTGACTCGATCCTTTTGGAGAGATCCCTAAGCATCTTTGCTATGGCATGGTGGGTTACCGATCCATAGTTTCTTGATCTCTCGGGAACTCATTCGGCAGGGGAGCTATTTCCGGCATTACTGTACTGGGAGTCTCTTGGGGCTTTGCAACTGAGCGATAACCAACTACCGTGCCTGCATCATTTTAAAAATATCGTCAAGACTAACTTCTTGTGCTTCCCGAGCCAGGGTTTTTTGGGCTTCTTGTTGGTCGATACGCTGTATGTTCCTGTCGGCGTGTGAGGCTTCGTCGGCCTGCTATGCGTCTTGCGAACCAGCGTCCGCTGGAATCGGCCCAGATGCGTTATCGGGGTTCTGCGGCATCGTGCCAACGACTGGAGCAGCCATACCGCTTTTGCCGTGATTTTCGAGGTAGGTTTTCTCAACCCTGTTTGCCAAGACAGACATTTTGACCTGAAATGAAGAGATCTTGGACAAGAAGAAGTGTGAAAGGTAACTTGCATTTGTGCAATGAAACTAGCAAGAAAATAATCACCATTATTTTTAGCCCCACGGTGGGCGCCAAACTGTTTACCGTGAAAATGGTAACAACAATTAAATTTGTAAATGGGATTCTAAAAATACGTAATCTATTTTTATGCTAGTTGTTAGAGTAGATGATGCTAAGAATATGAAGTTTAATGATGAAATGCAAGATAAAACGAGGGAGTAATCAAACCGAGAGGCCTGCTGCCCGGTGTATAGGACTGGTCGATGGGGGACCTCAAGGTCGATATCTGGGTCGAGCTCGAGCTATCGGGGATAGTTAGGAATGGGATAACAGTTAGGTTATGATCAAACAAAGCTCTATATGGCCAAGGCCAAGCTATAAATAAAGAACAAGTAGGAAAAGGATAAATGCTAAAGTGGCCTCGAGCCAGTGGGAGCAAGCGAGTTAGAGAGAAGAGAGAGATATTATTAATCTTGTGGAGAAATACTTAGAGTAACATCAACCCCTTACAAGGTAGTGTGGGTTCCCTTTATATAGGAGGGGAACCCGACTATAGTACATGGGCATTAATTAAAAAGTATAGAGATGTGACGGCTAGGCGCCATGCTTCGGTGTAGGCTTTGGATAGGCCGGCCCTATCAGACTTAGTCGTGCGCCTAGGGAACTTCCCCTTCTATTATAGCCCTGTCCTCTGTCTTCTTCGAGTGGGTTCCCCGACGAGCCTCGAGGGAGGGAACTCGGTCGTGGCTTCATGTCCTCGAGGTCTCGAGGCATTCTTCCGAAGTGGCTTGATAGTGAGAAATCAAGTCCTCTGATTTTGCTGCATACAATGAGTTATGGGGATTATCTAGAATCAACTGCCGAAGCCTATATACAATTGGGAAACATTGCCGGCCCTGCATCCTCAATACCCCATCATTACCAATAGTCACATCCCTGGCATCGCCGTGCTGAACTCTGTCCTTGAGGACAAGCAAATGGGGATCATCATACTGGTGCTCTCTGATACGATCTAACAAGGAAGACCGAGAAACCACACAAACTAAGATTTGATTGGGCTCCGAAATATCCAACCTTACAAATCGATTGGTTAAAACCTGAACATCAATCGCAAGAGGTCTCTCCCCAACAGGAATAAATGCAAGACTGCCCATACTCACACCTTCCTACTCAAGGCATCGGCCACTAAATTGACCTTTCTCGGATGGTACAAAATAGTAATATCGTAGTCTTTTAGCAGCTCCAACCATTTTTGCTGCCTTAAATTGAGATCCTTCTGTTTGAACAAGTGTTGGAGGCTACGATGATCAGTAAACACCTCACAAGACACACCATAGAGATAATGTCTCCAAATATTCAATGCGTGAACAATGGCAGCCAAATCCAAATCATGAACATGGTAGTTCTTCTCATGGGGCTTCAATTGACGAGAAGCATAAGCAATCACTCTACCCTCCTGCATCAACACACATCCAATGCCGACCCGGGAAGCATTATAATATACCATATAAGAACCTAAAGCTGATGGCAAAACTAACACTGGAGTTGTGGTCAAGGTAGTCTTGAGCTTCTGAAAGCTCGCCTCACACTCGTCCGACCACTCAAAAGCAGCACCCTTTTGGGTCAATTTGGTCAAGGGTGATGCAATAGATGAAAATTCTTGAACAAACTGGTGGTAATAACTTGCCAAACCAAGAAAGTGATGAATCTCTGTGACTGAGGATGGTCTAAATGAACTCTAGACCACCTCTATCTTCTTTGGATCAACCTGAATACCCTCACTGGACACCACGTGCCCCAAGAACGCAACTTTTACGAACCAAAACTCACACTTGGAGAACTTAGAATAAAGTTTCTCCTCCCTCAACTGCTGCAATACCACTCTCAAATACTCAGTGTGCTCCTCCTGGCTATGCGAGTACACCAGAATATTATCAATGAATATATTAACAAACAAGTTAAGATAATGCCAAAACATGATGTTCATCAAATTCATGAACGATGTTGGGCATTGGTCAGCCTAAAAGACATCATAATGATCATATCGGGTCTTGAAAGCTGTCTTAAGAATCTCCGAGTCCCTAATCTTCAACTTGTGATACCCTGAGTTGAGATCAATCTTGGAGAACACCCTCGCTCCCTGAAGATGGTCAAATAAATCATCAATACAAGGCAAAGGATATTTATTCTTGATTGTGACTTTGTTCAACTGCCTGTAATCAATGCACATCCTTATCATGCCATCATTCTTCTTCACAAATAGAACAGGAGCACCCCAATGTGACACACTAGGCCGAATAAACCCCTTATCAAGGAGTTCCTGAAGCTGCTCCTTCAATTCCTTTAACTCTACCAGTGCCATAAAAAATGGTGGAATAGAAATATGCTGAGTGGCCGGCACCAAATCAATAACAATGTCAATATCCCTATCCAGTGGCATGCCCGACCGGTTTGTAGGAAACACATCCGAAAAATCCCTCACCACCGAAACTGAATCAATGGTAGGAGTCTCTGCACTGATGCAACTGCTCGAACTGCCTACGCAACTCCTCTTTGTGGGACTACAACACATAATTCTCCAGAAAGAGAACGGAAAACTTCTGCCAGGTAAGGGGCGCTGCACCAACAAGCCTACGCCTCTCATAAGCCTCTCACCAAGTAAAGGCAGCTCCAGAGAACTGAAAAGTAGTGAACGAGACCCCACTGGTCTCCAAAATACCCGCTGTACGAAGAATCATCTAACACTTGTCCAAGAAACCCTAGGCATCCTCGCCTTCTATACCACTGAAAGTCACAAGTTAAAGTCTACCAAACCTCTCCAATCTATGCTGCTCGTCATCAGGCATGACTGGAACCATATAATCCTGAGCAGGTGCAACCAGATGGGCTGGTGGTGCCTCCGGTGTCTGTAGTCCATAAACAACCTGCTCGGGTGTATGGGCGATGGGAGTCTGAGTGCCTTCCCTAGCCTAGTAAGTAGCTGTTGTAGTAGAAACAGTGACCGCTTGAGCAAGACTGGTGCACACGGTTAGAATCTGGGATAAGGTTTCCTGAAGACCTGGATAACAATAGGCACTTCCGGTGCCTGAGCTAGTCCCGCTGGAGCATCCACAAATGGGACCTAATCATGAATTGGGGCGGCTGGTAGATCTGTGGGTGCTACCTTAGCTGTTGTCTGGGCTAAACCCTTGACCCTACCACAACCTCGATCGCGACCTTGGACTCTCACGGCCCAATTGGTAGTATTGGTGCCCGTCCGTCCTGACCGGTAGCACGTGTCCTCACCAGCTGTGAGAGAATAAAATAAAAGAAGTTTAGTTACCAGATGTATGGAGTAAAACTGGGGGCCCGATTTCCCCGTCATTGGGTTGACTCGCAGGCATGCTTTTCGAGGCTCGAAGCCAAGGTCGAGACCCACCCTCGGGGGTCATCGGGTACTAGCCCCGGGGGGGCATTGCGTACCAACGGCTACAACACGGGAAAGGGGAGTTCCCAAGATGAATGGACAGCACTGGCAGAACCTGGTATCGCGTCTAGCTGTCCCATCTCCACGCCTTTACAATTAATGCACTTTTGTACTATGTTTGGATATCCCCTCCTATATAAGGGGGGTCCTTGGCACTTTGTAATGGTGGTTGCTCCAGCGATTCTACATAAGATCAATAACATCTCTCTCTCTATTTTCTCTCTAACTTACTCGCACGAGACTACCTCTTTCATTTATTGCTTTCATATTTGTTCTTCATTTATTGCTTGATATTGGACATAAAGAGCCTCCTTTAATTATATCCTAACTGTTAGCCCTTTCCTGATTACCCCCGATAGCTCGAGTCCGAGCCCAGGCATCGACCTCGAGGCCTCTCATATGACAATCCGAGGCCCGGACAGCAAGCCCCTCGGTTTGATTATAACCCTGTTTTAGTTCATATTTCGTCGTTAAGTTTCATATATCTAGCATCAACTGCCCTAACAACTAGCATAAAAATAGATCACGTATTTTTAGAGTCCCGTATAAAAATTTAATTATTATTACCATTTTCACGGTAAACTGTTTGCCGCCCACAGTGGGGCTAAAAATAATAGTGATCATTTTCTTGTTGGTTTCATTACATAACACAAGTTATCTTTTACACTTTTTCTTGTCCAAGACCTTCAATTTTAGGACAAAACGTCTGGCTCAATGAATAGAATGGGGAACCAGAACCTCAAAAATAGCAAAGAGAAGCACACGACTACTCCAGATGTAGGTACACCACCGAACTCAACTCGGGCGAAATGGGAGGCTCTCCGACATGACGTCCACACATGATTATTGGGGAAACCGATGTTCCCCAAGGACCCATGTTCAAACAGATGAGAACTTCCACCACGGAAGAAGGACCGACCCAAACTGCAACCTCGAAGACACCCTCATATTCAGCGAGGAGGACCTCGAGGCCATGATAGAACTACACAACGACGCACTGGTGATCTCGTTTCTTTTAAATAATACTAGGATAAAGCGCGTGCTTGTGGATCCAAGCAGCTCGGCCAACATAATTAGATCAGAGGTAGTAGAACAACTGGAGATGCTCAATCGAGTTGCCCCCATCCCTCGAGTCCTCCACGACTTCAACATGACCGGGGAAGTAACAAAAGGAGAGATCAACCTCCTGATCCACACGTCCGGCGTGATTCAGAACACCAAGTTCCAAGTCTTCAACGGCGACATGAGATACAATGCATTACTCGGCAGGCCTTGGATACACAGTATGAGGGAAGTACCGTCAACATTACATCAGGTGATAAAGTTCTCCCATGAAGGACGGAATCACGACCATAATGGAGAACAACAAGCAGTGAAAGAAATTTTTGCAGTCCACAATAAGGTGCCGAACCCACGTGCCCGATCTTAGATGATGACAACGAGGAAGATTTCTTCGCTCCCCGAACCTTCATCGCCCCCGAAGAATCGGACGCGACTAAATCGACAGTCGAAGAGCTGGAGCAGATCATTTTAATCGAGCACCTCCCGGATCGTAACGTATACCTGGGAATAGGGTTGACCCTCGAATTCAGGACAAGGTTTATTCAATTTCTTAGTAACAATATCAACTGTTTTGCTTGGTCCCACCTAGATATGACAGGAATCCTACCAGAAATAACCTCCCATAGGCTGAGCATCGATCCTAAATTCAAACCCGTAAAGCAGAAGAGAGGACCACAGTCTGAGGTAAAGCATGCCTTCATCAAAGAAGAGGTAACGATACTTCTTAAAATCGGATCCATTAGAGAGGTAAAGTACCCCGAATGGCTGGCCAACGTAGTAGTAGTGCCCAAAAAGGGAAACATGCTAAGAATGTGCGTAGATTATAAAGACTTGAATAAAGCGTGCCCCAAAGATTCCTTCCCATTACCTAATATCGATCGTCTGATCGATGCTACGGCCGTCCACGAGACCCTCACCTTTCTCGATGCCTACTCGGGGTATAATCAAATCCAGATGAACCCCAAGGACAGGGAAGAAACCTCGTTCATCACAAATTATGGTACATATTCCTACAACATAATGCCGTTCGGGCTAAAAAATGCAGGGGCAATGTACCAATGCCTAGTTAATAAAATGTACGAGCATCAAGTAGGTAAATCAATAGAGTTATATATTGATGATATTCTAGTTATGTTCTTGCGCGCAGAGGAACATTTGACCCATTTGCAGGAAACTTTCGACATCCTTAGAAGCTGCAACATGAATCTCAACCCCGAGAAGTGTGCCTTCGGAGTGAGTTTGGGAAAATTCCTAGGCTTAATGGTTTCAAATAGGGGGATCGATATCAATCCCGAAAAAATAAAAGCCATCGAAGAAATAACGGTGATGAACAATGTAAAGGCCATCCAACGGCTAACCGGGCGGATAACGGCCCTAGGCAGATTCATATCAAGGTCATCAGACAAAATCCATCATTTCTTCTCTTTACTCAAAAGAAAGAACAACTTCGAATGGACTTCAGAGTGCCAACACGCCCTAGAAGAACTAAAATGATACCGGACTAACCCACCTTTGCTGCACACGCCCAAGGAGAATGAAATGCTATACCTGTACCAGGACGTGTCTAAACTAGCAGTAAGCGATGTACTGGTTTGAGAGGAGCAAGGTAAAAAATTTCCTATTTATTATGTAAGCCAAACCCTGGGGGACGCCGAAAACCGGTATCCCCATCTAGAAAAATTGGCTCGCGCGCTGATAAGGGCTTCGCATAAGCTGAATCCCTATTTTCAATATCACGGTATCTGCATTCTGTCGATGTAACCCCTCCGGAGCATATTGCATATACGCGAGCTATCGGGCCGATTGGCCAAATCGGCCATCGAACTAGGAGGGTATGATATCGAGTATCAACCTCGAACGGTCATCAAGTCCCAAATTCTGGCAGACTTCATGGCCTATTTCTCGCCATCCCTTGTACTCGAGGTAGAGAACGAACTTTATTAAAATCAGGCATGCCCTCAGGGGTATGGACGCTATTCACAGACGGTGCCTCAAACATAAGAGGATCCAGGCTCGGTATAGTCCTAAAGTATCCCGTTGGCGGTGTAATCAGACAATCTATAAAAACCATGAAATTGACTAACAACGAAGCCGAGTACGAGGCTACAATTGCAGGTTTAGAATTGGCAAAATGCTTTGGGAGCCCAGACCGTCGAGGCAAAATGCGATTCGCTCCTCGTAGTAAGACATGTGAATGGGAGCTACGAAGCTCGAGAGGACAGGATGCAGAGGTACTTGGACAAAATCCAAATCACATTATGTCGCTTCAAAAAATGAACCTTAGTCCATGTACCTCGAGAGCAGGACAGCGAGGTCGATGCCCTCGCAAAATCTAGGATCTTCTGCTAGAGAAGAGGACCTAGTCCCCGGAGCTGTTGTCCAATTGTTTAAATCAATGGTCGAGGAAGGTCACGTAGCGATTCACTCCACCAGTCTAACATGGGATTGGAGAAATAAGTATATTGATTATTTAAAGATGGGAAGCTGCCCGTAGATCCAAAAGAATCGAGGGCCCTGCGAACCAAAATAGCCCGGTTCTCGCTCGATGAATATGGGACTCTATACAGGAGAACTTTCAATGGACCTCTAGCGGTATACTTAGGGCTAGGTGACACAGATTACGTACTCCGAGGGATCCACGAGGGTACTTGTGGGAATCATTCCGGCCCGACTCCTTGGTCTGGAAGGTGATTAGAGCGGGCTACTATTAGGACAACATGGAAAAAGACATCAGAGGATTCATCTGAAAGTGCAACAAATGCCAGAGATTCGCTCCCATGATCCACCAACCAGGCAAGCAACTACATTCCGTTTTATCACTATGGCCATTCATGAAATGGGGGATGGACATCGTCGGCCCTTTGCCGATGGCACCAGGAGGCTAGATTCATTTTATTTATGACTGACTACTTTTCAAAATGAGTGGAAGCACAGGACTTCGAAAAAATAAGAGAAAAGGAGGTCATCAATTTCATATGGGATCACATCATATGCCGATTAAGAATCTCGTGCGAAATAACATGCAACGGAATGCAGTTCATCGGGGACAACAAAATCAAGATAATCTTGTCGACGCCTTACCATCCATGTGCAAACGGCCAGGCCGAATCCATGAATAAAACCATCATTCAGAACCTAAAGAAGAAACTAGAGAACGCCAAGGGAATATGGAGAGAAACGCTGCCCGAGGTGCTATGGGCATATCGAACAACTTCAAAGTCAAGCACCGGGGAAACACCTTTCTCTCTAGTATACGACGCCGAGGCTTTGATACCAGTGGATGTCGGGGAGTCGAGCGCTAGATTTTAGCACGCTAATGAGGGCTCAAACAATGAGGCCGTGACAACGGCCCTCAAACTACTCGATGAAAAGAGAGAAGCCTCGCTGATCCGAATGGCTGCCCAGAAGTAGAGAATCGAAAGATACTATAATAAGAGAACAAATCTTTGCTATTTTGGGATCGAGGACTTAGTCCTAAGGAAGGTTACTCTCAACACCCGAAACCCTAATGAAGGGAAGTTGGGCCAGAATTGGGAAGGACCGTACCGTGTCCTTGGAATAGTCGGTAGAGGATCCTATAAGCTTGGCACCATGGAGGGCGAACCGCTTCCGAGCAACTGTAATATATCGATGCTAAAATGGTATTACTGCTAGGGTATCCGATCGAACAATTCCTTAAAAATCCTCGAGCAAACGCTGCACCCCTTTCCTTCGACCGAGATTTTGCCCCGAAGAACGTTCTGACAGTAAGGTTTATTATGAGGCAACGTCCATGCGCTGCCTAAGGAGGACCCAACAATCTTGCAAGGCTTCTTTTGCATTCAATCTCGAATACTGGAGGGCACCCCATTGAGAGGTCGTCCACTCGGAGGAACCAGGGAACGACTAACTAAGTCCCAATAGAAAACAATTTACCGGGCTAAATGGTCAAAAAGCCGTGTCCGCACAAGTCGGGCTCACGGCAGCAAAACAACATATACTTATGCCAAACACTCAAAGAACACCTTTCGCCAAAGCATCTCGTACTCCAAAGAAAATTCAATATTTTCACAGCAAGGATCCCTCCGCCGAGAATGCTCCAAAATCCTCAGAGACTAGCATCAATACCTCGACACCCGTATGGCCTCAGGGTCAGAACTCCATAATCATAATCCCTCAATGAGGAAACTTCGAGTTCAAGAATAATAGCTTCCGAGATCGAGCAAACTCGATGACTCGGAGACTGTCGCCAATCACTATTCACTTAAAAACTCGAGGCCATAAGACCCCGAACGGGAAAACTCGGTCTAGCAAGACTTATTTAATATAGCAACAAAATTTGTAAGACCTCAACAGGCATAGCAAAACTGTAAAACCTCAACAGGCATGACAAAACTGTAAGACCTCAATAGGCATGAAAAAACAGTAAGACCTCAACATGCATGAAAACTTTGCAAGACCTTACTACAGGCATAAAACTCGGTCTTGAATTTTAGGCAATATGTTGCATTTGTATGACTCCCGAAAGAGCATACCCTCGATGTAGATGCCTAAGCTACCATACTCGGGATAAAAAATGGCTCCGTCCAAAAACAAATGACTATGGTCAATACGGCTGCACCAGCCAAATTAACGCGACTTGGGGATGCCTGACCATCGCTATAAATCACAGGCCATTACTTCAAATCTACTTCGAAAAGAACCAGTTAAACATGCTACCCTCGAACAGGCAAACGAGCTTTGACCATGTCAGCTCCAAATCACAAGGCTTCGAGCTACTCAACCTACGAGCTAAAGCTTACGAGGTGCTCAAACATCACCCCAAACGACTTGAAATCGAGGTTCTTCCCGAAACGATGACGGGTCAGGAAAAATTATTTCAAAAAGTCCTCAACGAGAGGAGAACAAAGCCTACATATGCCTAAGGGAAAAAGCGTAAGAGCCATTGTCTCCAGCCTAATGAGCCTCAGGGCCACGCATACTAAATGGTCGCAATGACCAAAAATGTAAGAGCCACTGCCGCCAGCTTAAAATGTTTGAAAGCTTGAGGGTCAAAGTGATCTCGAGTCGTAACCCGATTCAGAGACCAGATCCAAATTAGTTAACTATACATGCCCAAGGGCATAACATAAGAGCAATCGGTGCCAGCTTCATGAGCCTCAGGGCCATATGCATAAAAGGTCGCTTCGACCCAAGGCATAGTAGCCTTTGTCGCCATCCCCCAAAAACACAAAAGCTTAAGGGTCGAATTGGCTCGAGTTGAAGCCCGACTTGGAGACTAAACCCAAAATAGTTGAGCAAAAGTATAAGAACTGTAATGCTAGTTTACATTAACGATCGCATCGACTGGGCATGTAAAAGCCCCCGAGCTTGCCTAGCGAGCCCCAG